TGAGGAAGGATGCTGTTGCTCTCAAGGGAGTGCAGCAAAGGTTTACCAGATTGACAAGGTAGAGGCAGGGAGGATGTTCCCAATGGTGGGTGCATCCAGAACCAGGGGTCACACTCTGAAAATTCGGGGTAGACCATTTAGGACGGAGATGAGGAGACATTTCTTCATCCAAAGAGTAGTGAGCCTGTGGAATTCATTACCCCAGGAAGTATTTGATGCCAAAACATTGAGTATATTCAAGAGGTGACTAGATACAGCACTTGGGGCAAATGGGATCAAAGGTTATGGGGAGAAAGCAGGGTTAGGCTATTGAGTTGGATGATTAACCATGATCGTGAAGAAAGGCAGAGCAGGCTTAAAGTGCCAAATGGCTTCCTCCTGCTCCTATCTTCTATGTCTCTATGATGCTATATTTCTGAGAAACACCTGATCAGGTCCAAGGGATTTTTCTATCCTTATGCATTTTAAGATCTCCAGCACGTCCTGTTCTATAATAAAACATCACTATTTATTTCCCCAGGTTCCCTAGCTTCCATGTCTCCTTTGCGACAGTAAATACTGACGCAAAATATTCATTTAGTTCTTGAAAAATGGGCAGTCCCTTTGTTTCCAGAAGCAAATGCACTTTTTCTGGGTTTTTTCTCTTTACTTTTGCTGTTGTAGAATAATAGTTAATGTGTTCAATTTTTTGAAGGCTTTCCAGCATGTGATGATCCCACATTGAACAATATGAATATAAGGCTATAAGAAATAGGAACAGGAGTAGGCAATTCAGTCCTTGAATCTGTTCAACCATTCAATAGGAATATATCTGATGTAACATTTCTTACCTCCACTTTCTGTGTTTTTCCCATAACCTTTGATTCCCCTACTGATTAAGTATCTATCCCAGCCTTAAATATACACAAGGACTCTGTCGCCACAGCTCTGTGTGGCAAGCAGTTCCAAAAACTCATAACCCTTTGAGAGAACAAATTCCTCATCATCCCAATCCTAAATTAATGCCCATTTATTCTGAGACAAAGCTGTTTGTCCCAGACTCTCCCATGAGGGGAAATATCCTCTCGGCATTTACCCTGTCAATTCCCTGATGAATTCTGTATGTTTCAATGAAATCACCTTTCATTCTTCTAAAATCCAATAAGTACAGTCCCAACCTGTTTAGCCTTTGCTCTTAAGACAATCTCCCCATACCAGAGTCATCCTAGTGAACCTTCCCTGAACTGCTTTTAATGAAATAAAATCTTTCCTTAAAAAGGGGGCCAACAATACTCACAGTATTACAGATATGGTCTCAGCAGCACTTTTTATAGTTGCAGTAAGATTTCCCTACTCTTATATTCCAACTTGCTTGAAATAAGGGCCAAAATTCCATTAGCCTTCCCACAAGGGGTTATGATACACTGGATGCTAAGGAAAAATTATGACTCCCTTTGACAGGATTTTAAGAAGTAATGACACTAAGAACGGATAGCTTGTGTAGCTTGATTCTTGCAACAGCTGTTACTATGACAGCTGATCTGACGAGTGAAAACGTTAAACAATAAATTTACGAATATGAATTGTATTTGCAATGAACCTGTGCCACCTGTGTGCCCTCAGAACCTTTTCTTTTTCATTACCTTCCTTCTATATGCACTATTTAGGGCAGTTGGTGCAACAGGTGCTTGGCTGCACTTTAAGTATGGTACCCAGAGCCAGAAATCTCCGAATGTCTCAGTGGTGATGACTAAGCTGCAATTGGTGAGTACAGAGTAGTGTGCAGGTGTCACTAAGACATGGTGGATACATAATGAGGTAAACAGCAGAGAATCGCCTGCAAGAATTCACTGGATCTCCTGAGAGAAATCTTTCATAAAACTCCCCGACTTAGCCAATTTTGGTAAAATTCATCCCATTTTCTAAGTGAGTGGGATTGGTATGCCACCTAATATTGATATACCACTATCCTCACTTGGAAATATATCACCTTTCCTATAATGTTGTTCAGTAAAA